GGGGGGGGATCAGCCCTGCCAAGCCGGCATGACTCAGTGGTTGAGCATCGACCTATGGTCTAGGAGATCATGGTTCAGTTCCCAGGGTTTTGGGCTCCATCCCCAGTGTGGGGCATGAAGGAGGCAGCCAATCAATGACTCATCATTGATGTTTCTATCTTTCTCTCTCTCTCCCTTTCTCTGAAATCAATAAAGACATATTTAAAAAAATAAAATAATTTTTTTTTTAAAAAGCCCTTTGTAGATAGCATCCTTTAAAGCAGAGCAGTGTAGTAATGCTGTAGGAGAGTCATGGAAAATGTATTTGGCAAAGTACCCAGCAGGCAGTGTCTAGAGATCCTTGATTGCCTAGCTAAGCATTCTGAAGTTCTCTAAACCAATGGCTAGCAACCATCTTTTTCTTTAACCTACAGTAAAAAAAAAAAAATCCTATATTGCAACCAAGTACATGCAGATACACACACGTACATGTATTTTATATAATATATATCTATATGCAAACATACAGTGGCCAAAAAAAAGTATACACACAATTAGAATAATTATAAAGGCAGTGTTTATGAAAATACATTTCATTTTCAAAATTAAGCTGTCAGCTGTTAAAGTGTGTATACATTTTTTTGGGACACCCTACATATAGATTCATAACTATATACTTAAAACTTAAGTTTCTTAAAACAATACTTCCCATTCCATGTGCTGTGCACAGATACTTTTTATTCTATTTTACTTTGTTTATTAAAGGCTGACTTAACCCCCTAAATTGATTTCACGATCCACACTAATGGGTGGTAACTCAGTATGAAAAATACTTTAGGTGCTGTTCTCTGAAACAAGTAGTAGTGAGACATAACCAGTGATGTGCTTTGGAAAGATAAAATTAAGCAGCAGCAAAAATGATGAGAAAAAGGAGACAGGGTAGGAGAATGTAACAATAATACAGGAGAGTGAATGGGAATGAAGGGAACATTTCAGGAGCTTTTGTTTAAGAGAATATTCTGAACTTACTGACTGGATATGCGGGGAAAAGGAGACAGGAGAACCAGAGATAATGCTGTGATTTCTGGCCCAGGTAGGTGAGCAGATTTAGTGCCCTTAAAAGGAATGGGGAAGTCTGCAAGAAGCAAGTATATGTGTATGTAAGATTATCAGTACTATTTTGGACAAAGAATGTTTGTAGGATTTGGAGAAAACCGGTAGTAGGTAACCTGACTATAGCAGAGAAATTGAGATTAGACCCAAACAGAAATGCAGGGTTTAACCCAAGAGAGCAGTTCAAGTTATGAACAGAAGATGAGATGCCCCGAAAATATAGAGAAGACAAAAAAGTTCACCTTTATGGTTAAGTTCCACAGGGAGTGAATTAAAAGTGGCAAATGCTACTGAGATGGAAAGATGAGAACTGAGAAAACAGCACTGGATTTAGCTAATAAGAGAAAGAGGTATTATACTTGAGTGAGTGTATCATATTTGAGGCAACGGTTAAGCAGTGAGTGATGGTTAGAAAATGAAATAAATTCAAGTTTGTCTAGACCCCTCCAGATCCCGTCTCATCCCAGAAGCATTGGTTAGATTTGTAGTCATAGGGCTCTTTTTTTTTT